ATATCCATCAGGTTGAAGCTGGAATCTCATAACCATCTGAAAGAAAAAACATAATGCAAAAATATGTCTCTGTTTTAGAACAGTAAGAACCATTTTACAACACATAGAAAATTACTAGCCAGTCTCTGAAATACAGTAGTGGACATTTACTTTTTGGGGGCCCAAAACCCAAACGCCATTCCCACTGAGGGGATCCCTTTTTTGTTGCTCTACCCCCATTTCACTGCCACTGGACCGAAGCCTCCTGCTCTCTGTCAGCAGGGCTGGACTCCAAGTTAAGGATCCTGGCAAAACCATAGCAGCTGCAGAAGGTCATGGGAAGATTCAGGAGAGGTGGGAGCTCTTCACAGCAAAGCAGGGAATGGAGGTGGCAGTGTTGGGGGTGAGGGTGGGGTTTTAGCAACAGAGCCCATCAGGTGGTCTCTGGGCTAATCTGGTCTCTATTCATGTCCTCTCCCAGTTCCTGCCCTCTTGAGGCTGGCTTCTGTCACTTCCAGTGTGAGAGCCTGTTGACATACTCCTCTGCTTAGCCAGAGTCCATTTCTGCTGCTTACAGCCAAGCCCCTGACTGGTACACGAAGGCACATGGCTAGTAACATTTTTCAAAGCCTGCCTTTCCTTTATTTTTAATTACTAAAGGTGACTCATTGGTGTTACTTAAAAACTTGGTAATCGAACAGCACCACAAGCTACCACCAGGTGGGCTCACCTCCCTTTCTAGCTTGAGAGAAAAAAAAAAAAAGAAAAGAGGCAAAAACTTCAAGGAGGTAGGGTGGCACGGATAGTAATGAATATAATTAAGTCTAAGAAATAAATTTGGATTTGAATGGTTTATTTTGTGGAGGTAGAGAGAGGTAGGAGAGATTCAAATAGTAATTTCAAATACCCTAGGAATATTTCAGAAAAAAAATTGTCTTGGAAATTTTTTAACTGCAATGTGCTTTGTACAGCTTCTCATATAGCCTTGTTTCTATTGTTATGTTTTTGTTTGTTTTATATTTTTTATTTCTGTTTTATTTACTTCTTTTTTACATTAGGGGCACTTCGACATTGTTATATTTTTGAAGTAAACTTTCATGTAACCCAGGTGTTGCCAAACTTGCTGAACAAGCAAAAAACTGGTGCTGGGTTGGGGTTTCTTTCTATCATGTTTCCTTCAGAACAGTCCATATATAATTACATGAAATAAAGTCCAGGAAAATGCTGATATGTATTTTCTCCTGGCCTGGTGTAACATTCAACCAAACCACAGTTATTTTAGCAGCATTTATACGTGCATTAACAAGAATGCCACTAGTAAAAGGAAGAGCCTGGCTGCCTGCCTTCTGTTTGGTCCTCTGTAGTTCTTTTGTTCCAGAAGGCAGCAAATCAAGTCTGCACCTGAGTCTGTTCCTTGAATTTGGCTGTTTGGGTTCCTGTTCATCAGCTGGAGTGAGATCATTTTCCAAAAAATTGCCAAAAACTCAACCTACACAATGGGCAAAACTGTGACAAGCTCAGAACACTCTTTTCAAGCCCAAATTAAACACAGGCAAATTCCACCCACACGGTTGGTCTCTTTTTAAAAAAATCAGCAACACACCAATCGTTTTATCTTTCCTAGTGTCATTTAAAAATCTGCATTTAAATCACTTCAAACCAGCCCCTTAAAATATTACTATAAAAAGAAATCAACTGCATATAATTTCTCAATTGAAATACTACATTATCCATATGCAAATGTCTGACTAGCGAAAGGCTGATGTGAATAAGACACTGGTGATACAGTGCTGAGTTTTTAATGTATTCTTAGGAAAGTATCAATTTTAAACCCTCAATAAAGTGTGTGTATTCAGTCCAAAGAGCACATTTTCCCCAAGATTTCTAGTCTCTTTACACATGCCCCTGATCTAAGTTTTAGCAAAAAGAAAGCTGTCCTTCCAGTTAAATCTACATTCCTTACAATAACCTACTACAAGCCTTTCCTGATTTGCCCCTCCCCACGTCTGGAATTCCTCCTCCTCCTGCTCAGCTCCCGCTTTGCGGCCAGGGTGGAAACTGCCCCTGCGTCAAGGCGTGGGCCTCCAGCGTTCTCCCATCCACATGGCTGCCCTCGTCTCCTCCGGGTTTGTGCTCAAAGGAGACCTCGGTGAGCCCACAGCTGCCCACACACACTCCGGCTCCCTAACTCTGCTGTATCACTCTCCATGACACTTACTGTCTAACAGAATATATAATTTCTTTTTTTATCCTGTCTCTTTCTCCTCCTAAATGTAAGCTCTGTAAGGGCAGGAGTGTTTATCCCTTTTATTTTTTGCTCTACCTCAGACATTGAAAATAGTGCCTGGCATATGTTAGGTGCTCAGCATTTACTAAATGAATCAGTTCTTTAATATCCATTATTCCAACTTCTGTATCTATCCCTTAGTTGATTCTGAAATAGGATAGGGAAGAAGAATGTTTATTTCCTTTTCAAAACTACAATAGTAATCATTAAGTTTTAAGTGAGTTTATTATAAGTATTTAATATCATAAAATAACTGCAAATTTATTAATTTATCTATATTTGTAGCTTCTGTATATTGGGCTAGGGTAAAGAATTCTTTATTTTAGGAGCAGTTAGTCTAGGACCATTTTATACCATGAGAACATAAAAGCTATATTCCAAATTTAAAATGTCTAAATGATTAAAAACCTCTTCTGGTATTAAAAAGTATATACATATATATATATTTTTTGAGGCAGGGTCTTGCTCTGTTGCCTGGGCTAGAGTGCAGTGGCATCATCATAACTCACTGCAACCTCAAACTCCTGGGCTGCAGGGATCCTCCTTCCTCAGCCTCCTGAGTAGCTGGGACTAAAGGTATGCATCACACCTGGTTCATTTCTCTTATTTTTTGTAGAGATAGGGTCTCGATAAGTTGCTTAGGTTGGTCTTGAATTCCTAGCCTCAAGTGATTCTCCTGCCTCAGCCACCCAAAGTGCTAGGATTATAGATGTGAGCCACCGCACCCGGCTAAAAAAATGTATATTCTTCCTAAGAACTAACATTGTCAAAAAACATACTAGACTGTAATTGCTTTGTAACAAAGATGAATAAACTATTTGTGTATTTTATTTTATTTTGAGACAGAGTCAAAAAAAAAAAAAGAAAAAGAAAAAAAGAAAAAATTGCATTATTTCAGGATGGGGGGGATAAAAAAAAACAAAAAAGAAAAAAAAAAAGAAAAAAAGAGACAGAGTCTCGCTTTGTTGCCCAAACTAGACAAGTGCCGTGGCGTCAGCCTAGCTCACAGCAACCTCAAACTCCTGGGCTCAAGCAATCCTGCCTCAGCCTCCCAAGTAGCTGGGACTACAGGCATGCGCCACCATGCCCCGCTAATTTTTTCTATATATATTAGTTGGCCACTTAATTTCTTTCTATTTTTTTTTTCTGGCAACCAGAATTGACTTTTAATTTGTCCTAAAGCTGAAGCAAAAACCATGAATTTCTTTCTATTTTTAGTAGAGACAGGGTCTTGCTCTTGCTCCGGCTGATTCTGAACTCCTGACCTTGAGCAATCTGCCTGCCTCAGCCTCCCAGAGAGCTAGGATTACAGGCGTGATCGCCCAGCCTTTATTTTCTAATTATTCAAATTTTGCTAAAGATTACATGCTAATACCTATACCACTAAAATTCTCTCAAGAGAAAACATTTTTAGACTAAGTTTATAAAATAAGTAACTGAAATTTATATTAAGCTTATTCCATTACTTTTTTACTCAATGGAGTTAAAAAAAATTAATAGCACTAATGTGTACAAATGAACGACTTAGTAATGAAGGACTTAGTAAAAGCGAATCATTTACTATGTATAATGAATTAATTAATACAATTCTTTCTAGAAAAGTAAAGAACCAAACAAGGTTCAGAAGAAGAGAGAAAGGGGCAAAGTCATAAAATACAGAAATACAAATACCTGCTGTGAAGATTGCTGCAGTTTTGATGCCCTTATCTTCGTTTTGTAGGTCCTGAAGGAACGAACTAACTGTTGACAACATTGGTTTGACTACAAACTGACAGCGTTCTTTTCTGGATGGCAGAGTAAGAGTTATCAAGGGAAGGCCGTGTCTATAATTAACTGTTACTTCTGTTAAGAAAAGAAAAATAATACAGGAATGCGTAAATTTTACCATAAGAAAAAACTCTTAAAATACATGAATTCTAAATGGCATGCTTAAGCTTGGAATTCACAAGCCTCTGAATCCCGTGGAAGTCTACATCGCTTGTATAGTGCCATTGTTACACTACAGTTTGCATATTCCCTGCTAGCCTATAACATTTCACTGTAGCACGCACCACACTGTGTTATAATCACCAGTGTAAAGTCTTCCCAGACAAGGAGTTAAATTTTGAGGGCAGAAATCATCGCTTATTCAACTCCTCTGATTGCTGGGGTGGAAACTTGACAAAAGACAGCAGAGATTATGGGAGCAGAAAAGGGAGGAACTAAACCCAACCAGGGGATGGGGTGGGATGGAGATAGTGCAAGAGAAGTCTATTTTGTTCAAAATTCACAGCTCTCACTTAATGCAAACCATTAGCGTCCAAATCAAAGACGTGATAAGAGTGCTTACCGTCAGGTGGCACCACTGTACCGTAAAGGTGTGACTGGCAGTATTTCAGATCTCCACATAGCTGCACACACAAAACCTGCAGGAAACAAGGATTATGTTGTTTTTTAAAAGGAGTGGGAAAGTTGAAATAGGAGTCTTTACCAGAAGATTTTTTTTTTCATCTTACATGACAAGCACAACGGAAAGTTCAACTTCCCACGCATCCCCAAGTGAGCCCTTGGGAAAGCTCACTAAACCTCCCTGGCCGTGTCTGCTGCTACTATGCGGTAGCAGTGACACGCGGGAACAGGGTTCTCCGACTGGGGTGCAAGGACTCCTGAAAATCCTAGAGTTCTATGGGAATTTTTAAATTCTGTTTTTCCTTTTAGATGATAGTCTAAAACAAAGGACCATGCGCATATGCACTCCAGCTATGTGCTTCTCAAAGTACTGTCCCCAGGCCAGAAGCATCAGCAACCCCATGGAGCCGATTAGAGATGCACAATCACAGACTCAGGCCAGACTTACTGGTTATGATCTGCATTCTAACAAGACCCCCAGGTGATTCACAGGCACAGTGGGGTTTGATAAACACTACTCTAGATCTGTGCTGTCCCATGTGGTAGCCACTAGTCACATGTGGCTATTTAAATTAATTAAAATTACATACAAAGAAATTCAGTTCCTTAGTACCTATTGCCACATTTTAAGTGCTCAGTAGCTGTGTGTGTCCAGTGGCTATGTTACTAGAAAGCCAAAGCACAGGAACAGAACATTTTCCGTCATCACAGAAAGTTCTACTGCACAGCACTGCTGAGTCTACAACATCTGAATGGTCACTTCACCATGGAACATGTTTTTAGGCTGGCATTAGTGTCTGTGTTTACAATTATACTGGTGCTTAATGAAAGCCAAATGACATCATCATGCACTGTGTGAACTAAATTATTGTGTGGTAGGAAGAAAGGGCATTGAAGAATTGGTTCACAGGCATTTGGAACTCAAAGACCTTGTGCCATGGTCACAACATGGCTGCATCCTATTATTTTTTAAGGCATCACCTTGCAATGGTTTAAGATGATGCTGACTCAAATGATATTCCAGTATGCTCGAAATGAAAAGAACCTCATCAATAAGTAAAACCAAAAATCCGAATACATATCCTAGTATTAAACACAACACAGGCGATTAGTGCAACAAAACACCATCTGTCACACTAAAGCAGTTCATTTGAGTTTTATTTCTAAAACTTGAATTCATTATTAAAATGAAAAAAGTAGATTATATCTTAAAATAGAAGTAAATCTCAATAAATAAATATATGTAGAAGTTTTCCAATTCTGGGTAATAGCTATTACAATACTGTCTCTTTAATGAAACTACATCAAATTAAGAAAGATGTATCTACTTGAAAACACATATCAGAATTAATTTTCTATACAAAATATTTTAATACTCTTTAAGGCAGGCTTGGTGCTACATCTGTAATCCTAGGGAGGATAAGCCAGGAGGATCTCTTGAGGCCAAAAGTTTGAGACCAGCCTGGGAAACAGTAATCTTTTTTTTTT